TGGCGAGTAAACTAAAAAATTTACTAGCCAATGGCGATTCAATTGCCAAGGTGTTCATAGAGGGCTGACATTGACATCTATGGTCTTTTTTGAGCCCTGTACTTTCATTTTATGAAAAAAGCAGCTTGTTTCATGGAATAAAAGAAAGGAATACAGTTTTGGAAACACATGAGAGTGAGGAAATGATGACTGGAATTTCATTTTTGGGTGATCTATTCCATTATGCCTGCTTTTCTTACAGCTGGTGATTAATTGCATGGGGATTAACAAGAAATGTAATTACTGGTGTTGCATTACTGTATTGCCCCGGTCAATGGGTTCAGCTTCCCCTCTCAGGTATATTATTGTTTATTAGGCATTCTGTTCTGCTGTGCAGAGCTGCAGTGCTGTCATTCAACATGGCATGTCTAAACATGCTCTAATCTCCAATGGTCTTTCAGAAGATCCTTTGAAGATGCCTTTCTAATACGAACAGCACAGTCACATTTCTCTAGACTATAGGGGTTTGTTTACATGCAACTTCTCCATTGGAGAGCTCAGATTAGTTTAGTTCAACTTACAACGGCTATAGTACTAAAGACAGTTCAGGGCTTTTATGTTTAATAATCAGTCATTTTGGTGTATTTTTTTGTGTGGGCCTGTTCTTTTTTGTTTCATTATGTTCATACAAATCTCACACAAAACATACTAAGTATAAATCGCATAATGTTTTCACTTTTAATTTATTGAAAGTCTTCAACAAAGTAAGTTTTCTAAAAAGGACATGACGTTGTACGAAACCAGAACTTCTAATTAAAAGCGTAACATTCAGCACTTCAGTAAAGCTTTGCAGATGGGCCCCTTCCTTAGTGGTGTTTTCAAGAGATCAAGTGAATGGCCTCCCACTCAAAAAGTGGACCACTTAACTTATGGTCCTTATGGGATTGACCCTGCCAAAATGCTAATGACACAGGTGGGGTTTAAAGCTACAGTGTGACTGAAGCATGCTTTGATTCCATCAATAGCTATATACCATTCCACTTCCATAATATTACTACACTGCCTTCTCCTCAAAACTATACTACACAAAAAAAGTAAAGTATGTAGTAGTTTTTGTGCGCAAAGAAACATAGTTAATGCAAATGCTACTCTTAGTTTTATGCGCTGTTGCATGTGTCTGAAATGTGTCTGAGCAGAATTCATAACATAACGTGCAAGTTGCGTTCCCAGTGTTGCTGTTAGTGCAAACTGTAAATTACTTTTCTCTTTTAGGTCAACTACTTTTATGGTGGAGCAACAATTTAAAAAGTAACCAAGATAAAATGTACGTGCTTATAGAATCTACTTGAATAACCTGAATAGTGGTTTAATGGCTTTAGAAGCAACTCTGTCATTGAGTACTTGTTGCTGTGACAGTAATGGAAGAATTCACTTTAAGTATGTAGTACAAAACTGCACGCTCTCAAATGCATGAGTCAAGCCCAATGTCTGCATTTGTGTAGAGTATGTTTCCGCCTTGTGAAGTTGCAAGTATTTTGTTGCTTAATCTGGGAATTCTTAGACACTGTAATTTGTGCAAATCCTAGTAAATTCCTATTCATTTTCTCCATAGAGAAATTAAATTTTTAACAATAACATTTAAAGCTTTCAAGATAGACCAACTATGAACTAAATAAGTTCCTGTAGAAGCCATAAAGTAGTATAGTATAATTTGCATTTTGCATACCTGTTGAATTATTATTATTATTATTTTTATTTTTATTTTTACAATATTTTAGGAATTTTTTAATTTAAAAATATCTTACCAATCCCAATTTTGTGTAAATGGTGTAAATATTTTTCTTTTTTTGTCATTTGTTTAAAATTAAATTTAATATTGAAACATAATGACTTAATGATCAAATTTGATCAAATAAATGCAGCCTTGGTACGTTGCATTCTTTCAAAAACATTAAAATATTATTTTGTTCTATATTAAACTAATAAAGTATATATTTAAAAAAAACTTCACATATATTGTCATTTTAAATTGAAATGTTTATTTTATCCAGTTATATTTTTTACAGTACAAATGGTCCCTTTTTCATATTTTCAGGTATATTTTGTTGCGAATCATCAGTAATAATGTGAATCATCTCAAAGCTGGCTGGTTTGGTTCATTGCTTAGTTTATTGAGGAATTTTCTAAATCTTTTTTTTTTAAATTTCCCTATAGAGAAAATGAAAGGGAAAAATACAGAGGGTGCTGCATTTGCACTGATGGAGTGCTGGTGTACTCTGTCAATGTTAGCCCGATGCCTGAGGTGTCTTTCCATGAGAAATATGAACTTGCTTCTTAAAAAATGGTCTGACTCATTGTGTTATTTTTCTGAAACGGTTGAAGCAGCAGAAGTAATGGTGTATCATTTAAAACTGCTGAATGCCTGGAGAAACATGGGCCACTTTAAGCATCTTTACATTCGTAAGCAGAATGTGGTGGTCTCATTTTGGTCAGCAGTTTTTCCCCATGCCTGTCCATCTGTAGGAATGTGTTTTGGAGGCAAAACATTCTATTCGAGAGAACAAACGTCTCAAAATTGATGTTAAGCATGGATATACACACCCTTCCGTTCTCCAGCATGTTTCTCTGTAAAGAGCTGTACGTTTTCACAGTCTTATTTCAGGAACGAAGTCTCATGCAGGTTCAGGCACATGCACGAGTTATGTAAGATAGATACGTGAGTGTTTATTTAAAAAGAATCACAGGAAGATGTTTCTGCAGGTACGGTGACGGTGCAGGTGTGTAATGTTCCGTTGGGCCTCACAACCAGCAGCAGTGACGTTGAGAGTAAGGTCTCTGTCCGAACGCCGAGCACTGTGCTGACCTAATTCTTCCCACACTGACTCTGTGGCTGGGTGTTAAAACTCACGCTTGCCTTTAAAGAATCTGAGCTGACTATATGGTGTCATTCCACTTTTAGCTTGTACCCATGTGCTTTTAATTTACTGTAAATTCATGTTTATTTTCCGGCTGTTCCAAGGCAGGCATACTTCCTTCTGGCTGCAATTTATAATGATTCTTGAGTCTTCAGATGAAATAGTGCAAAAAAGTACTTTAGGGGATGTCACGTTATTAGATATTGTGTTACTGGAAAACAATATAAGAAAATGATTTTTGTAGTATATCCAAAGGTCAAATAGTACTTCATACAGTGCTGTTTAAACATTTTATAATGTTTTTGAAAGAAGGCTCTAAGCTTAACAGGGCATCATTTATTTGATCAAAAATACAGTCAAAACAGTATTTGTGAAATATCATAATTTAGAATAACTCTATTGTGACAAAGCTGAATTTCACACGATCCTTCAGAAATCATTCTAATATGCGGATTTGCTGCTCAGAAAAATTATGATAAATGACAAAAACAGTTTTGCTGCTTAAATGTTTGTGGAAACTGTAATGCATTTTTTAGGATTCTTTGACTAACATAAATTTAAAAAGAACAGCTTTTATTTCATATACAGGCCCTAAATCTTTTTAAAGGGATAGTTCACCCAAAAATTCTGTCATTAATTACTCACCCTCATGTTGTTCCAAACCTACAGTATAAGATCTTCCTTCATCTTCGGAACACAAATTAAGATATTTTTGGTGAAATCCGAGAGCTCTCTGACCCTGCATAGACCGCAACACACCTACCACATTCAAGACACAGAAAAGTAGTAAGGACATCGTTAAAATAGTCCATGTGACATCAACAGATCAAACTTAATTTTATGCAGCTACGAGAATGCTTTTTGTGCGCAAAAAGAAAACAAAATTCAACGACTCTTCTCTTCCGTGGCAGTCTTCGTGTGCATATATGAGAGTGTATACCATGAAACTGTATGATTTCCATATTCACGTACTAAGGTATTTAGAGCACTTACCAGAAAAAGTGTTTGACAGTTAGTGGGAATACAGCCAATTGGATTTCCCAAAGTATATTGGACCCGCCTCTCTGGGATTCTCATTGATCGAGAGTGCAGGTGCCATTATTGCACTTCAAGTTAGGGCTGTCGATAAGGGCTAACAAATGAACCTTTTTCAATAACACTTTTCTCCAAGATACCATTTACCATAGTATTGCCATTGTATTTTTTTTTTTTACGCACACCTTGTTCTTTCTGAAAATCCCATTCAGTAAATTTATATTCATCTAAATGAACCTGTATCTATCCTTCATGTTCCACCAGCTTCATCTTCAGCTTAAGCTGTTATGCATGTTTTTGTGAATTCACTGAACCATATTTCATAAATTACCCTTCTGGTGACATGAATGGCAGCTATTGTCGGATTACCATGGCAACATGTCTTGCTTATTGTTCCAGGTGTATTGCATTATTTATTGGTCGTGCTTATTTTCATGAGCATCATGCTTGTTGGAGCTGAATTGAACTCTGACAGTTCTGGTAACTCCTTTAGTTTTATTACCTGAAAATGACAAGTAAGAGTGATTTGATTTCAGTCTTGTTGGCTTTTTATATTCCCACCACCAACACATAATGTGTTTTGCCGTCACTTTTAAATAGAAACGCCACAGTCAGGTAGATATTATTGGTTCTTGTGCTAAAAATATCTTTAATAAGTCAGGCATGATTGCAGACATTTCCAATAAGGCAGAATTTTCTGCATAACAGCACAGTGGTAACTGATTATTGGTATGAAAAGACTAAACATTATTATTATTTGCTTTGAAATTTGGGGGGGGTAAAAAAATCTGGGGAAAAAGTTGTTTTTGTTTGCAGGAAATAGGACGTAATTTAGAGTCAGTGTTTGTTTCAAAATTCATTTTCTGGCTTTGGCTCACTGGATACCTTAATAGGCTTTTATGTTCAATGTGCAAACAGATTTAACTTTAATTGACATGCTTTGTTAGGTCTAATGACTGCAGTGTCCGCATTTATGATGACCTCAGTGTATACAGTATGTGTGATTCTCCTTGATGTTCAATGACAGGATAATGCAAGCTAATCTCCTCTTCTATTATGCTCTCCCCTCAGGACCCTGCGGGCATATTTGAGCTGGTGGAGCTCGTGGGAAATGGGACCTATGGACAAGTATATAAGGTAAATAATTGTGTATGTTAAGTCAAATGCATGATTGGCTCTATAGATCTATCCAGTTCAGTCTCATAAACATGTTTTGTATTTCCCTCAGCTGTTTGCTTCAAAGTTTTCCCTCTCCCTCCCTTAAAGATCTGCACTTACCTGTTAGTGGCTCAGCAACTCTTGCGTTATACGTGTGGTATTTTCAGACGTGTCAAGACTCATGTGTTTTCATATACGTCTTTCCATTTCTCTGAACGATTATTCGCCTGCTCAAAACTAGTGGGTGTGAGTTTTTTCAACGATTTTTCAATTGAAAAATACTTAAGTGCATATTTGGACAGGGTGATTTGTTTGCAAACAACATTCAGGAAAATATAAGGTTTAATTTGTTGATGGTCATTGTGAAAAGTTTTGCACGGTTTGACATGGTCTGAACAGGTTGGGGTTCTTTGGGAACTTCTTTGGTTTGGTGTTTCTTTTTTGGTTTGAAAGTGAAAAGACTCACATCATCTCTTTGGTTTTCATCCACAGTGATCAGACTGGTAATTTTGTATGATTGATGCCCCCCCAAAAAATCAAATCGATTTAGTATCGATACCGAGGTATTAGATCCTAGTATCGTACTGAAGTCAAAATTGTGGTATCGAGCCATCAGTGGTTCAACCGTAATTTTACGAAGCTACGAGAATACTTTTGGTGCGCAAAGAAAACAATAATAACATAATTTATTCAACAATTCTTCTCCCCGAGGTTCCGTCTTCCGCCATTTTGGAGAGTCCCCCAGAACGTAATCAAGGTAATCAGCACTGTTTACATTCAGCATGCGCGCCCTTTCTACTGAACGTAAACAACGCTGATTACCTTGATTACGTTCCGGGGGACTCTCCAAAATGGCAGAAGGTGGAAACTCGGGGAAAAGAATTGTAACTAACTACAATTTTTGCCATGTAATTTGGAATCAGTAACGGACTACAATTTGTAAGCAATCTACCCAGCTCTGTTAGCTCATAAATGCATTTTAAATGTCTTATCCTTTTCTTCTGGAGACAAAAACATTGATGACTCATCCTGCACTGCACAGATTTTTGTCCAATCAGTTGCTCTTTTGATTGAATGTCCCTCCACCAATTCCAGCTGCCTTCAACCAACAGGTAAAGCCTATTGGCTATTTAAAAGGCAGATGAGTCTTTCTGCTTAATTTTTTATTTGTAAATTTGGGAAAGGAAAAAGGATAAAGAGAAGAGAAAGGAAGAAAAACAACTGTCTAGTTCATAGCAGACCAGGAAGAAAATTAGAGTGGTGGTTTGCTTTCTTGCACTGAAAAAAAAAGCTGTAGAAACAATCTTCACTGATTAATTACAAAGAAACAGCAAGTGACGGATTGAATTAAATGTGAAATTTTAAAGTAGAAAAACTGAAATATATGTACAACTTCAGGATCAGGGTCGTTGGATGGTTGCTTTAGTGTTGCTTTATGGTTGCTAGGGTGATCTGGGTGGTTCTTTGGGCATTGTGGATTTCTAGGGTGTTTCTGTGTGGTTGCTAAAGGGTGTATTGAGTGTTCGCTTGGTGGTTGCTTAATGTCCAGCCCTCTTTTAATGCAAGTATTTCATTGCTTATCTTTTAATTGCAAGTCAGATGGCTTCGCAAAGTAACAGAGCACCTCAAACAAGCCAAACCATTTGAAGTATAATTCATATCCGTAACAAACTGAACAGGATGAGTTACTCACCAAAGTTTAACGCTTAGCAATAGTATGAGCAAGTGTGAGCAATAGTAATAGTCATGATTTCCTTGGCAAACCTATTATCCAGACATTCCTTCTGTGCCGCCTCCTGATTACCAAGGTTTGGATAAACGGGTAGTCTGGTAGCAGGTAGTGAAATTTAGTTTTTATTTTACATAAAGGTACATTTCTGTGTCTGTTGGTGAGCAATGAAGAAAGCACAGTCTGTGGTATTTGTGCACCGGATTTGTGTGGGCTAATCAGTCCAAATATATATATATAAAATGAATATAAAACACACTTGCTAATTTACGTGTGGGAGTTTTTCAAAAGCACAAGCGCCTGACATCTTTCAGAATTCTGAATTATTTAAAACAGCAGGCATTCATTTATTATCATATGTATGTGGAAGCGGAGTAGTTTTTTAACCAAATGAGACATTTTGTCGATGACATTCTGGTGGCTTTGGTGAAGCTGCATTCAGGTCACAATCAGCCATGATTGACTGTATATTTAATGTGAAAGAAATAAAAGAGGCAGGGAAATTATGAGTCATGGTATTTATGTATTGCTGAATAGATTTTCTGTTGACACCCATGACTTTTTTCCTGATTTGATATGAGATTGCACGCCTCTTCTTTTGAGTCGGACTGTTGATTTGAATTGCTTCATTATGTGAGTTCTTTCATCTATTACTCTTATTTGTTTTCTTTTTAATGTGAAATCAGTCATTATTTATCTTTAGGAATTTTGTGGGCTAAGTAGAATGTAACATTTATATTCATCTTTTATCTATTCAGTTAACTAGTGGGTTCGTAATGTCATTTCAGATAATTGTTTTGCTTTGTTTCACTCTGAGAGAATGAACATTGGATATTGATGCATCTCTTTCATTTTTATTCCTTTAAGGCACTTATTATAAAAGAATCCTGAAAAATCAATGTGTCGAAGTTTCTGCAGAAATATTGAGCAGCACAAATGTTTTCAACATTGATAAGAAATGTTTCTTAAGCACCAAATTAGCATACGGTATTAAAATGATTTCTAAAGGATCATGTGACACTGAAGACTGGAGTAATGATGCTGAAAATTCAGCTTTGTCATCACAGGAAATAATTACATTTAGTTATTTTAAATACTAAGTACTAATATTTGACAGTATTGCTGTTTTTACTGTATTTTGATCAAATAAATGCAGCCCCGGTGAACACAAGGCTGCTTTTTGTTAAAGATTTTTTAATTAAATTGAATATTAAAAATGTACTTTACCCTGTTGAATTAATGTCAATAAACAGCAGATTTGACAATAACTAAGCAATGCAAAATACTACAGAAACGGTCATCAGAAGTGTCAGGCCTCTATCAGTGCTGCATTAGTTATCTAAATCAGCAGCTCTACCCAAAGCTAATTTCACGGTGTCTGGAGCATCTTGGATGAATTGTGGGTAATTTCTTTAAAAGTAAGTTGCTTAAAAGATCAAATGTGCTGGTCCGTAGCAAAACCCTTTTCGTTTTGGAGTCGGTCTTGTTAAACAGATGTCTTCTGCTTCACTCTGTAGGGCTGTAGCAGCGTGACTCAGCATCTCTGCTGGAGTTTGCGGAGCTCATCTTAACATGGTGCTTTTTGTACAGTAATTGTGATCCTGAAAAAAGGGCATCACGTTCACTTTACTCGGCCTATTTGGGTCAGATTTGAAAGAGATAATTGCTGAGTGGTCTTATTCTTATTAACGGGGGATCTTTGAACTCTCTGACTCCTGCATTGCTGCAAGGCGGTTTAATTAGTCCAAGGGTCGTAGGTTATGACCTCGCTGACCTGCAAGAACAGATGAGCATTTGAGAAGTATTGATCGTTATATTTGACTAGATCAGGGGTGTCCAAACTTTTCCTAAAGAGGGCCGGATTCGACGATGTGGAAACACTGGGGGGCCGGATGCTTCTACCTATATATATATATATATATATATATATATGTATGTATA